TGTTGACTCTCTGGTCAGGGGATTTGGCTCTTTCATTCCTTAACACCACGTTTGTATCTGAATCTCCTGTCTTGGCCCCCATTACTTCTCATCTGTCACTTCTCCTCCCCCCCACCCCCCACTTCTTCTTTCCTTCTCTTCCCTATACTTTAGGCACTTTAAAAGTGAAACTTAGCCCATCTATACAAAACATTATACTGGGAACTTAAATCTGAAAAGTTTATTTTTATTCTTATTCATTATATTATTCTCTAATAGGATTTCTGAGCTTTGTTTTAAATCAATTACGAGATATATTATTTTTAGATAGTTAGGAGTTTTTCTGATTCTCTTACCACTAATTTCTAATCAGTGATACTGTGATCAGACCAATAATGTATTATTTTAATCCGGCCAAGTCTCCCATAATCCAGAATATGATCTCTGCTGATGAATATACCCTGTGCATTTGAAATGTGTGCTCTGCTTCTTTTAGGTATATTCTTTAAATATTAATTTTATCAAGGTATTCAGTAGTGTTTCTGCATGTCTACTGATTTTTCTCTCATTATTTTATCAATTTTTGAAAAAGAGTTAAGGATCCAGAGATAAGTACACTAGTTAAGTCCCATGCCTTGCAGTTTAACACCAGGCACCACTTGACACACCTGATACCATTGAATACAGCCCTGGGAGTGATAGGGTGCTTGCCTTGCACATGGCCAACCTGGTTTCACTTTTCCCACATCCCATATTGGCCTCCAAGCCTGCCAGGACGATATCTGAGCACAGAGCTAGTAATAAGCCCTGAGCACCACCAGGCAAACCAAAAAAAATTTTGTTGTACAGTTTGACTTTGTATTCTGCTACTTTTCTATAATGGTTAATTATTTCTAATGTGTTTGGTTGGAATTTTTAGAGTCTTCCATGGAATATGCATGGAAGTGAGAGTTTAACATATTTTCCAATTTCCTTCCATCCTCCTTCCCTCCCTCCCTCCCTCCCTTCCTTCCTTCCTTCCTCCCTCCCTTTTTTCCTTCCTTCCTTACTTCTTTCCTCCCTCCCTCCCTCCCTCCCTCCCTCCCTCCTCCCTCTCTTGTTTACAAAGTTACTCATAGTTGAGTTTAGACATAAACATTGCTGCACTGATCACACCACTTGGAGGAAACAATTTCCCTCCAAGTTTCCAGGTTCCTTCCCATATCCCACCCATCCTGCACCCCACCTCCCACTCCCTACTCCCAAAACCTGCCCACCTGACAGACCCTATTCAAAGTCCAGTTGTTAATGTTTGGGTTCCTAGATTTTAGTGTTGTTGACTCTGTGGTTTAGATATCTGACTCTACCATTCCTCAGAAACAATTTTATGTACCTGATTTTCTTGTGGCAGTTTTTTAAAATTATCAATCACTATCTCTTCAAATACTTTATTTCCTTTTTTATCCTCTTTGAGATATTTATCGTGTAGAGATTTTCTTACTGTTTTATTTCTTTCTCACTGCTTCATTTGTCTTACATTATATCCATATCTATTTTAATTTTCTATTACTTTATCTCTTCATGTTTCATTCCAGCTATTTTATTATAATTTTTTCCACTTGAATGATTTCCCCATGTTAAAACCTTTAAGTGATCACAGACATAAATGTTTCATTTTTAAATTTCAGGATTTCCATTTTTTTATCTCTCTTTTCTGATTCCCTAATGAATTTCCAGTCTTAAAGTTTATTTTCTTAAACATAATAACTTTTTTCAGTTTCTTTCAGATAACTCCATATCACCTAAAGCTTTAGTGAATATGATTCTTGTTCTTTTTGTCTATGATTTTGAACCTATGGTCTTGTATCTGTGTACTTGTTTATTTTTCAATTATTATTGAATTATGTGCATAAAAAGGTAGAGAGACAGTTTGAAGTCTTGAAGAGATCATTGGGCCAAAGAAATGATACCATTTTCCTTGCATGTGGTCAACCTGAGATTAGCTCCCCAACACCCCATTTCGTCCCCCAATCAATGCCAGGAGTAATTCCTGAGTGCAGAGTCAGGAAGTATGGCCGAACACAAGTGTGTGTGTGTGTGTGTGTGTGTGTGTGTGTGTGTAAAGAAAATATGTATTTGGTGATTTTATTTACTTTAACAGCCAACTTGGAGACTAGCAAAAGTAAATGTTTTCCAATATGAAGGCCTTCAATAATTTAATTATTCTAGACTTCATTCATAAAAAGTAACTCTAGATAGGTAAGCCCATATATTTCTTGTACCCTCTTTTTGAAAATTTGGGTCAAATTCTATGGGTTGTCTACCTAAAATATAGTGATTAACCATGTCTCTCAGCTCTTTGAGTTACTACAAATTTCAATATCAATTTCAGAGGATAATCTCACTGTATTTCTTTCTTTTTTTAGATCGAATCACCATGAGTTACATCATCATCATCATCATCAGTTACAAACTTTCATGTTTGAGTTTCAGTCAGTCATACAATGGCCAAACACCCATCCCTCTACCATTATACCTACCTCTTCCTCCACCACCAGTTTCCCCAGTATCTCTCCCCCCTCATCCCATACCTCCCCCTGCCTCTATGGCAGACAATTTCCCCCTTACTCTCTCTCTACTTATGGTCATTATGGTTTGTAATACAGATACTGAGAGGCCATCATGTTTGGTCCTTTATCTACTTTATTTACTTTGAACACATCTCTCATCCCGAGGGATTCCTCCAACCATCATTGACTTAGTGATTCCTTCTCTATCCCAGCCACCTTCTCCCCCAGCTTATAAGGCAGGCTTCCAACTGTGGAGCAATCTTCATGACCCTTGTCTCTACTATCCTTGGGTGTTAATCTCATATTATGATATGTATATTTCACAAATGAGTACAGTCCTTCTGTGTCAGCCCGTCTCTTTCGAATTTCACTTAACATGCTACTCTCCATGACCATATAAGCAAATTTCATGACTTCATCTTTCCTAACAACTGCATAGTATTCCATTGTGCAGATGTATCAAAGTTTCTTTAACCAATCGTCTATTCTCAGACACTCTAGTATAGTTTCCAGACTCTGGCTAGTATGAACAGTGCTGCATTGAACGTACAGATGTAGATATCATTTCTGCTGTGTTTTTTTACACCCTCAGGATATATTCCCAGAAGTGGTATTGCTGAGTCAAATGGGAACTCAATTTCTAGTTTTTTGAGAAACGTACATACTGTTTTCCAAAAAGACGGGGCCAATTGACATTCCCACCAACAATGAAGGAGAGTCCCTTCTCCATGCCAGTAGTCGTTGCTTTTGTTCTTTTGGGTGTGTGCCAGTCCCTGTGGTGTGTGATTATATCTCATTGTTGTTTTGATCTGCATATCCCTGATGACTAGTAATGAAGAGCACTTTTTCATGTGCCTTTCGGCCATTAAGTTTTTCTTTGAGAAAATTTCTGTTCAGTTCATTGCCACATTTTCTGATGGGGTTGGATGTTTTCTTCTTGTAGAGTTTAACCAGTGCCTTGTGTGTCCTTGATATTAGCCCTTTATCAGTAGGGTATTGGGTGACGATCCTTTCCCATTCCATTGGCTATCTTTGTATCCTGGTCACTGTTTCTTTTTTTTTTTTTTTAATTTTTATTAGTGAAACACCATGAGGTACAGTTGTAGACTTACAAATTTTTGTGCTTGGGTTTCAGTTATACAATGATCGAGTACCCATCCCTCCACCGGTGCCCATTCTCCACCACTACTGATCCCAGTATCCCTCCCACCACCCATCCCCCCCATCCCACCCTGCCTCTGTGGCAGGGCATTCCCTTTTGTTCTCTCTCTCCTTTTGGCTGCTGTGGTTTGCAAAAGAGGCATTGAGTGGCAATCATGTTCTGTCTAGAGTCTACTTTCAGCATGCGTCTCCCATCCTGGGAGGATCCTCCCAACACCCTTTACTTGGTGCTCCCTTTTCTGTCTGAACTGCCTTTTCCCCTAGCATGTGTGGCTCGCCTCCAAGCCATGGAGTAAACCTCTTGGTACTTATCTCGGCTATTCTTGGGTGTTAGTCTCCTAGTTTTTTAACTTTGTGTTCCCCAGATGAATGCAATCTTTATATGTCACTGTTTCTTTGGAGGTGCAGAAGCTTCTTAGTTTAAGATAGTCCCGTTTGTTTATCTTTGCTTCCACTTGTTTGGTCAGTGGCATTTCATCCTTGAAGATCCCTTTAGCTTCAATGTCGTGAAGGATTTTACCGACCTTTTCTTCAGTGTACCTTATGGATTCTGGTCTGATGTTGAGGTCTTTAACCCATTTGGTCTGATTTTTGTGCATGGTTTTAGGTAGAGATCTGAGCCCATTTTTTAAGCATGTATGTAGCTGTCTAGTTTTGTCAGCACCATTTGTTAAAGAGGCTTTCCTTACTTCACTTTATATTTCTTGCTTCCTTATCAAAGATTAGATGATGATATATTTGAGACTGTGTTTCACTGGATTTCTTTCTTCTGTAATATTTGTTCCCATAATTCTTCACAGTCTTAGGGCTCTGCAATACCTTTCTTCCTTGTTTTTAACATTTGTTCGGCTTTTCAATGTATTTTTGGTTGGCTAATGACTGAAATTACCTAATGTGTCATAATTAGACTAAATAGGCATGCATATAGTAAATATTACAGTAAAAAGGAAGTAATGGTATTGAGAATAAGCATAACATATTATAAACAAAATGATAAGTATCCACCGAGTACAACAGTATACTAAGAAAAATGATATAAAATTTGAAAGGGAGACCCAAGGATCAGTGAATGAAGATGTACAAGATGAGTTGATATTTACCAAAATGATGAAAGGGAATGCAAGGAAATAGTCTTGGCATTGGGAAAAAGAGACAGAAAGCCACAGGTTATGTGATATCCAGCAAAAACAATTAAGTCTTACAAAATTACAAGTAGTTCGAGCTAGAAAATGATTTCATATTTCATTAGGGCAGTATTTTGGTTATTTATGATTTTCTATTAGTGCAAATTTTTTACTTGTTTTTTTATAGAGAAGAATGGACGGAAGCTATCCAAGCAGTAGCAGACAGACTTCAGAGACAAGAAGAGGAGCGGATGAACTGTAGTCCAACTTCACAAATTGATAATATAGGGGAGGAAGAGATGGATGCATCTACAACACATCATAAAAGAAAGGTAGAAATGATAATTTATTGCATTATGTATCACAGAATTTATGTATATGGATAAAATATGCTAAAAACTGTTTTTGTAAGAGAAATGCCAGTGCACATATGAGCAGATATATTTGTACATGTAGAGAAGAATGCTTCTGACTAACCAGAAGTTAGTCAGGTGATTCTAAAATGATTGTTATTGTGTAAAATCAAATAATTGAAGCATAATTTTTTATTTATTTAGTCAACATTTAGGATCCAAAATGTTGATAGTTCTTATTAGGTAGTTGTTACTTAAGTGCTATCATACTACCTCACAATTTTTACCTAACCTTTGTTATTTTTAATGTCATTTTAGAAATTTGAAAATAAGTGTTTTCTCTAATCAGTTCATGCTTCTCTATTTGACATTTTATGTGCTTCTGAAAGTGAAAAACAGAAATAACTCTGTTGTACTTTTTCTTAGTATTCTGGCCTAATAAATTTCAACAGAAAAATAAACAATTTTAAATACAGTGACATATTATCCTGATGACTTATCTTGAGCCAGTGAGAAAAGCTCTTTTTTTTCTTCAATCAGTGGTCCAGAATAATTTGTGATAATTTCTCTATGGGAATTACAATTTTAATTGCTATGGAATGTTGAAAAGAAGAGCATCTTGCATGTAAAATTTGGTGTTTTAAGATTAACTTACGTTCAGAGGAAGTTGTAAATGAATATGCCATTGATCATGTTTAACTGTATTTGTTATAGTATAAATCTTCATGTTGGAAAACATAACTTTATAAAATTTTAAAATATCTTTAATTTTGAGGGGACAGAGATAGTTCAGGAATTAAGGTACTACTTGCTTTCAATTCAGCTGCATTAATCACAATTGTAGTTCAAATCCCTAGCATGACATATGGTCTCCTGAACAGGAGTCACCTCTCACCACAGGGCAAAGCCAGATTCAGTTCCCGAGCATTGCCAGGTGTGATCCAAACCATCCTGCAACTCAAATTTTAATTTTTTTTATAATTTTATCATGGGTTCACAGTATTATAGTATTTTAGATGTTTAGCTTCACTCCTCTGAGTCAGTGCTGACCATACTCACCACCTATGTATAAGAGTGCTCACTTCTCCTTCTTGTACGAGTTTATTTTCCTCTTGTAACCTGCAGGCTTTCCCCTAGTTAGTTTTATTAGTTTTTGCAAATTTGCTTTAGTTTTTCATATTTATCAAATGACTAAGATCAGTCTTTCATTTTATAAATTAATCAAAAAAGACAATTCATAAAAGTTGTTTTTCATTCCATTCTTATTTAATTTAGCATATTTCTTCAGGACCTATCCAGTGGAGGTTGGGGAGGGGCTGACATTGGGACAATAGTGGGGGAAAGCAAACACTGGTGGAAGGGTGTGTGCTGCAATGTTTTATGCGTGAAACCCTATCATTAGCAGTACTGTTCATCACAGTGACTAATTTTTTTTAATTTAAGGCAAAAATTTTTCTTTTTTAATGGTTGAATTGTATTCAATGAGTATATATATTATAGCTATTTTATGAAATGGGACTTTGTAAATTTCATATTTTGGTTATTGTAAATAATAATACAGACAAGGATACAAATATTCTTTTCCTGTGGAAATACAAATTTTTAAGATAATTATGTGCTTTGGTATTAGCAGTGATCAAGAACGTTTTAAGGCAGAGCAGATAAGGCACTGGCCTTACATATGGCTGACTTGAGTTCAGTCCCCTGCAGCTTATTTAATCCCTAAACACAGAGACAGGGCTAAGCCCTGAACATTGTCAGGTTTGGTCCCCTGATTTGTTTTTTTATTAAACCAAAATTAATGAGTAACTCTTTGAACTTTGAATGCATGGGTTGAAATTTTGAACTTTGAATGCATGAGTTGAAATTTTTCTTCTTTTGTGTTGTATAATCATCTGAAGTTCCACAGTTACAACTTTAAGTTTGTTGATTATACTTTCCGTATTCAAAATTTCTATTCGAATTAGAATAATACTCTTTGCTGAATCCTCTTAACCAAATACATGAGAACCTGTAGTATATTTTTGAAAACTTACTTGAGTCTTGCTGTTCTTAAAAATCAACTTAATCTTATGTCTCAGTCATTACAAAATTTAAAAAAATACATCTTTCATAATTGCTCAAATTTAGGAAATCTTCTGCACTTATTTGTGCACATGTATACAACTAATTCCAAACTTTACTGTATCCATGAATTTAAATACAGGTATCAATTGATCTCTTCTTTTGAATTATGTTATTCTATCAGTAACATGACATGCTCAGTTTAAGTCTATGAAATTGCTAAAATTCTTCCTCTGAAGTAAGATTAGCTATAATAATATGCCATTGAGGCCGCTAGAAATTGAAAATGCTTAGCTTATTGAAAGAAAACATACAGATGGCAAACAGGCATATGAAAGAAGTGTTCCTCATCACTGATGATCAGGGAAATGCTATTCAAAATGACAATGAGAATTCACCTCATACTAGTAGAAATGGCCTGTACGCTGGTGGAGATGTAGTGAATAAGAAACCCTCATTCACTTTTGGTGGGACTCTAAACTGGGTCAGTCTCTATGGGAAACAGATGGAGACTTCTCAAAAAAATTAAAAATAGAACTACCATATGACCAGTGATTTCACTCTTTGGTATTTTTCCCACGTACCCAGAATCACTAATTTGAAAAGATATATGCACATCTATGTTAATTGCAGCACTATTTATAATAGCAAGATATGGAAACAACTCGAAGTGGCAACACCAAATGAATGGCTAAAGAATTTGTGGTATAGATGAGTGGATAAGGAATTTGTGGTACATATACACAATGGAATACTACTCAGCCATAAGAAAAGATGAACTAATGTATTTTGCTATTACTTTGATAGAATAAGAAGGTGTTTTTTCAAGTAAAACTGAGAGTAGTATCAATTATATGATCTATAAAAGAGCAGAGAAGGGGAATGTCAATGAAAGAGAACCCTTGTACTCTTTAACAACAGACTGAGGTTGCCAGATGTGTGTGGGGGCAGTAGGGTTAGGAAGGGTGTGGTGGACTAGATATCTTATAAGGACAGTGGTAAAGAGGTTTTGCTATTAACATAACATTTTTCAGTTACCACAGTATTAATAAAGTGAATAAGGAAAAATATTCTATACTGTTGTAGGCTACAAAAAAAAATCTCTTGAAAGGAAAAGATACTGGGGGATATATAAATGAGACAATGATCTTGCTACCAAATACAAATCACCATTTTTTGTTTAAAATAAAAGATGATGTTTCAAAAGATTTTGATTAGAAAATTTGAAGTACCTAATCTTGGTCAGCCAGGCTGTTCTCTGTTCTGTTCCCTATCAGGCATGTGAGGAGGAGTAAAAAAAAAAAAGACAATAGCCTAATTAAATCAAAATCCTGCTTAATTTTTCAGTGACAAATACAAGTCTTCCTGCATACAGCTGGTTATCATCTCATGATTTAGGCATAAAAATATAAGCAATACTTCCTGCCTTCCCATTGAGTATGATATGGATTCTTTGAATTTTATTATTAAAATTTATTATTTATTAAAATATTTATTAAATATTCATTAAACAAAATTTATTAAAAATTTATTTTAAAAATAACTTAAAAATAGAAAAGAAGAGAAAGTTGGTCTGCTGAAATGATCTTTCACTGTCTTCTCAAGTAGGGAGGAGTATCATAATCAGCATTGTAGAAATTAACTGATTAGATTAGAATTCCCCCTTCTGTTAAGATATGGAATTATAGTAATTATATAGCAATGTGGGCAAAAAGCTGAGCTTCTTAAGAGCCCCTCTTTTTACTTAGATAACATGGGGATTTATTTGGTTTAACTCTTACACTGTGTATTGGGGTATTTTTGGCCCAAGTATACTAGAATGTTTATATTCTCTCTGATAGGTTACTGTATTTCTCTTTAATAATATTAGGATTAATATTTTTAAACTAACCTTAGATGAAACAGTTGGATTGGTCTTTTTTTTTCTCGCATTCTAATGTGTATGATTTAATACGTTCATTAAGTACTTGTTATGTATTTACGTGCCTTTCTTAGGTTGAAATGATGAGTTTGGCATGCTAGAGATTATATAAAGAAAAAAGTGCAACTATATACAATATTTCCCTTATAAGTTATTGGAATTTAGAGGATTAATTTTCTCTAGTGTATCCACACTTTCATCTTAGTTAAAATATTGCTGTTTGAATGTCCCTTCGTGGTAGTTTTTGCCTTGTATGTTTTTAACTTCTAGCATTTTTTGATCTTAAACAAAGTGCTCCACTAAGATCCCCTGTACCATACAACCAATCCTTGAACTGCAACAATAGCTAGTCTTATAGTATCTTTTCCCTTAGTGCTATACATAAAGAAAACATTTTGCAATACTTTGCATTTTATTTGTAAAAGCTTGATGCTGTCTATTGTTACACATTTAGTGTCAGAACAGTTTTTATTTTTGTGTGTACTCATTTAGTTTTATGTAGCAAAACAACTTATATACTTAGTGTTTGATATTGAGAACCATCTTTCCAGTGAAAAAGAAAATTTTTGAATAAATATGAACAAAATTGCAGTAGGGAATATTCAGTTTCAAACAAGAACCTATAGTTTATACTGATTCTCCTATCTGGCAGGGCTATCATAATAGAAAATTTAATTTTTATAGTTTAGTTTTACTTTTAAAATTTTTTTCTATGCAGACTCCTGGTTTTTATTTATTTATTTTGGTTTTATTGAAACTATACCTAGCTATGTTCAGGGACTGTTTTGGCTTAGTCCCCAGAAGTTACTCCTGGCATTGTCCCAAAGGACCAGGCAGTCGCAATGATCAAACTTGGGGGTCTTAACATGCAAAGCCTACGCTCCAGCCTTTTAAGTCATCTCCACAACCCCAGGCTCCTGATTCTGAAATAAATGTATGTATAATTTAAACATATGTAAACAAAACTCAGATTTTGTCAGGAGTTTGGAGGAGGAAAATATAGGCAGAATCCTCCAAAACATTCAAGCTATAGTGTCATATGAAAGGATTCCATTATACATCACAACTAAAATGCCAAAGGAAAACCATGTTGTCCAAACATTTCAAACTCACTCTTTGTTGACTTCCCATCAGGGTTTAAGGGTGTACGTTTTTCTTTTTTTCTTTACAGAGCATGTTAAGTTACATAGTTTTTTTTTTTTTTTTTTTTGCTGTTGGAGCAGAAAGGATAAAAATGAATTTGGAATAGAAAGGGATAGAGATTATTACTGCATTTTGCTTAAGGTATTTCTTCCCCCAGATTAGAAAATCATCAAGGACTACAACTTGTTCCCATGGATTGGAACAGTTTATAAAGGAAGATAAAATTTAACCATATTCTGGGTAGGGCACTTTCCTTGCTCAAGGCCAACCCAGGTTCGATCCCCACCACCCCATAAGGTTCCCCCAAGCCCTGCCACGAGTGATTCCTGATTGTAGAGCCAGGAGTATCCTCTGAGTATTGTTAGGTGCAGTACGTGTTCCTCCTCTCCAGGAAGTGCTGACACTTGCAGATGATTTAGTTATTAGTTTTAAAAATGGTTAGTGGAGTTTGTTGTATTTATATTCTTACTTCGGGCTGGAGCGATAGCACAGCGGGTAGGGCGTCTGCCTTGCACGCAGCCAACATGGCCGACCCGAGTTCGATTCCTCCTCCCCTCTCGGAGAGCCCGGCAAGCTACCGAGAGTATTCGGTATGCCAGACACAGTAACAACAAAGTCTCCAATGGAGACGTTACTGGGCCCGCTCGAGCAAATCGATGATCAACGGGAGGGCCTTTACTTTACTTTACTTATATTCTTACTTCAAAATTTTCTTTACTGACTTTTTTATTAGGTCTTAATTTTAGTTCATTAATATGTTTCTGGGTTGGAGCAATAGCACAGCAGGTAGGGCATTTTGACTTGCACGCAGCAGGCCTGGCCGAGCGGGGTTTGACTCCTCCGCCCCTCTCGGAGAGACTGGCAAGCTACTGAGAGTATTTCACCCGCATGGCAAAGCCTGGCAAGCTACCCATGACGTATTCAATATGCCAAACACAGTAACAAGTCTCACAATGGAGACGTTACTGGGCCCGCTAGAGCAAATCGATGAACAACGGGAGGACAGTGCTAAAAGTAATAGGTTTCTATTAATTTTTTGCAAAAAGGAAGAAAGCTAATGCTTCTGTGTGTAAAGGCTAATTCTGCAGGCCTGGGGAGATAGCTCTAGAGGCCAGAGCACAAACCTGACATGCATGAAGCCCTGGATTGATTCCCAGCACCACATGGCCCTCTGAGCACTGCCAGGGAGGCCTTCCTCCACCCCTAAGTAATACTATATCTGGAATTGACACAGTATTACTTTGATCATGTTTATATATTTTGGTTTTTTGGTTTTGGAGCCACATGCAACAGTCTCCAGGCTTACTCCTGGTCCTATGTTCAGAGCTTTCTCCTAACTCTTTGCTGAAGAATCACTTCTGGAGTCTATGTGTGGTCCAGTAGGGGAGCAAATTCCAGTTGACTGCATGCAAAGCATGTGCCATACCTGCTGTACCATCACTTCAGCCTCATATATCTATGCTTGTAGGAGACTAAGGCAAGTCCAAGTAGAGAGAAAGTAGACTCCACCTTTTCATGGAAAGAATAGCATGTGTATTTGGGAATGGCACTTATCTTTGGAGACAACTGAAGCCAGATTTGTAGTTAAATAGTATCACTGTGACTGTCATCCTGTTGTTCATTGATTGCCTCAAGCAGGCCCCAGTAACGTCTCCTTCGTCCTAAAAGTAAGTAAAGTAAAGGCCCTCCCGTTGATCATCGATTTGCTCGAGCGGGCCCAGTAACGTCTCCATTGGAGACCTTGTTGTTACTGTGTTTGGCATATTGAATACGTCACGGGGAGCTTGCCAGGCTCTGCCGTGCGGGCGAGATACTCTCGGTAGCTTGCCAGGCTCTCCGAGAGGGGCGGAGGAATCGAACTCGGGTCGGCCATGTTGGCTGCGTGCAAGGCAAACGCCCTACTGCTGTGCTATCGCTCCAGCCCTGAGATTTTAAAAAGTGCCACATTCAAGGCTCTTTCAGGGTCAGGAGAATGAGACCCATTAAATAGTATTGTTTATTTTTAAACATATCTAATATTGCCTATTAACTATTTGAAGGACACCGGCTTTTTTCAACTATATTCTGTATATTTAGTGCTATAATTTTGATCACATTTGAATTAATGTATGTACTTTGCTATTTTTTTCTGCTGTCTTTACTGCTTTTATTTTCAAAAGGAGATAGTAATGAATATATCAATGTAGCCTTACATTTGTAAACCTAACAAAATTACAGACAACTAATGTTCATTTATAAAATTTGGGGGGGAGGTTACATATGAGAGTATTGGTTTATAGTTTTCATCTGGTTTTGGAGTAAGGAGAATGATGGCCTCATAGGATGCTTTGGTTATCAGGTTTTGTATGAATTGTTTTTGTAGTTGATATGGCTTCTGTTTTAAATGAGTAAAGAATTCACCTGTGAAACTGTTTGATTCTGGAGCTTTCATTCGTTGTTTCAAATCACAAATTTAATTTTGTTAATAAATATTAGTTTATTCGAGTTTTTTATTTATCAGAAAGTGAGTTTATAATTTGAGATTTTCATGGAACTTATTTATCTCATAAAATATTTAATTTACAGCTGTTTAAAGTATTCTTTCATAACACTTAAAAGTCTATAAAATCTATATCGATGGAAGTATTCCTCCTCATCTATAACATAGATCATTTTTTGTCTTTTATTTCCTGTGCAGTATGGCTAAAAATTTTACAGTTTTGTTACCTCAAAGAGCTAAGTTTTGGTTTAATTTATTTTTATCTGTTTTTGTTTTTTAAATTTAATTAAGATATCTTCTTGTCTTTATTTTGCCTTGCAAGTTTTCTGAGTTTAAGTTGTTCTTTTTCTATTTTCTCAAAATTTTAAGTAGAGGTTATTAAGACATGTCTGATACATCTGATGGTTAGTAAGATGATCTGATAGTTAGAACAAAATACTTGTTTAAAAACCACAAAAATAATCACTAACTTTATTGTAAGATAAAGACCTTACCTTGTTATTAATAAAACTCCTTACAACTGTATTTAAATGTAAGGTGTTAAACTGATGACTTACTAAAAAACCATTAAAATGATAGTAAAGGAATTTTTTAAGTGGACTGAGTCTAGTAAAGTAAGTAAGTAAAGGCCCTCCCGTTGATCGTCGATTTGCTCGAGCGGGCCCAGTAACGTCTCCATTGGAGACTTTGTTGTTACTGTGTCTGGCATATCAAATACTCTCGGTAGCTTGCCAGGCTATAAAAGTAAAAAGTTGGGTCGGGCACTGGGGACAAAAAGTGAAGGAGAAGGAGAAGAAAAAATTGAGAACTACAAAGAAAAGCTGGAAAGAAAAACTGAAACTGAAAATAGGAAAATTAGTAAAATATACTCCTATATTCAGAAGAATTGCACCTATTGCTTTTTCAGAAGTGTCTTGCTCTCTTTCTTAGATTTCTTTTTGCTGATCTCCAGATTTTCAGTTTGGGTGGAATATGGGGGTTACAGCTGATGGTACTTAAAGCTTACTCCCAGCCTATTGATAGAAGGTCCATATGGTTCAGGGGATCTAACCCAGGGCTCCTGTATGCAAGGCACAAGATCCAGCCCTTTGAAGGGCTGACCTTCCTGACCCTCATTGTTTAATCATTGGTTAGTACTATTACAATCATAAGTATAGCTTTATGCCTTCATACACTTATAATATTACCATAACCACAACTAAAGTCCCTACCATTGTTTTAGTGTCAAATACCACTCTAACTTTTATATACACATATTTTTTCTTTAATTTTATCTTTATTTTCCTATAATACATTTCCAAATAGTTCTCTTGGAAGTACTGATGTCTTATATGTACTTGGCAATGTTTGTGGGATACAGTTTAGATTTTCAAAATTGGGAATAGTGCTACCACTAAATTCTTATAAACTTGAATTTTTGAAAGCGAGTGAAGATAATTCTCCATTTACTCTTGCACTTGGCTGGTAATTTGACTAAGTAAGAATTCCTCAGTTCAAATAATTTCTTTCAGTGTCTGAGACATCTTAAATTATTTCTGCATTGATGATTACAAATGAGTTAGCTAGTGTGCTAGTCTTAAATTTTATGGATGATTCAAAATTCATTTTTAAGTGTCTATTACAGATTTACACATTTATATTTACAAATAATTTGCACCAAATATTTTATATATTTTGCTTATATTTTTCAGACAATGAATGATTTTGACTATTTGAAACTGCTAGGTAAAGGCACTTTTGGGAAAGTTATTTTGGTTCGAGAAAAGGCAAGTGGGAAATATTATGCTATGAAGATTCTGAAGAAAGAAGTTATTATTGCAAAGGTAACTTATTACTAAAGACAGTCTATAATTTTTTATTTATAGTGTGTACATATATGCTAATGTGTATACATGACTACAAAGAATAGAAATCCTATATTGAACTGAAATGCTGAATCAAAATGTTGAATGTAGACTACTGCTATCAGTATTAATCTGTATACCAATGCTTATTTATGATGTTAGAATTTTCAAGCCTATGATATTTGAATATTGTATATTGACACTATTTTGTTTTATTGATGAGATAGCCAATTCTCATAGTTCTAATTTGAATCCCAATTCCCTCAGTAGACAAAATTTGATATACTTTACAAATTGGTCCATGCTTTATGTCTTGCTTAATTAAAAAAAATAATATCTTTGTTATACTTACTGGATGATTTTAAATTTCAGGGTTTTTTTTTAAAGTTATAATTTCCTCATTGAAAGTGTATTACTTTGTATGCTTGTGACATTAAGTTGTCTATGCCTTTATACATTTTCAGTGTTTTGTTTGGTTAGGTTTTTTGGGGGAGTTCACACCTAGCAATGCTCAAGGGTTACTCCCGGATCTGCACTCATAAATTATCCTGGCCATGCTGGGGTACCATATAGGATGCTGGGGATCGAACCCAGGTTAGCCTCATGCAAGGCAAACACCCTACCCGATGTACTATCGCTCCAGCCCCCATTTTCTGTGTTTTGCAACCTTTTTCTGATTCTGGCCTCCTTCCACCTCCTTCCTTCATGTGCCCCCTCCCAATGCTAGTTGTGGTCTAGTCTCATGTTTTGGCCCCCATATACGGGATTTTCACCTGTGACCCTCCAGGAGTCCATGTCGCTTTGGTTAAGAAACACTGGTGTTGATCTCAACTCCTCCAGAAGTCAGTTTCTGGTTTTAGCAATAATATTCACATTGGAATCATGCAGATTTAGGTGCATATCAAACTTTACATCCTACAGTCTTTTTTATTTTATTATTTTTATAAAGCAGTTTACATTTGATTATATTTAATATTCAAACACCAATTCCACCACCGTTATACCTTCACACCACCATATTTTGGATGCTTTCATCCTGAACACCAATCCCTGCCCTAAAGCAGAACAGAAATAATTTATTTTGTATTGTTTGTTATGAATAAACTGCTGAAAATGCTCAGTGTGTGGAGATTGTTATATTTCACCAGGGGCCAGTAAGCCCTTCTGTAAGAGATAACTAATATGTTGTTAAGGGTTGTGCCTTGTGTGCTCATGTGTGGTGTGTGTGAGTGTGTGTGTGTGTGTGTGTATTATTTATATATATACATACATACATATATATGTAAAAGTATATTTCCCTCTAAGATTTGTTGCCTTCGACTTTAAACCCCATCAAATGAGGTATGCTATTCTTGGAGGATGAGTATTGTGAAGTATGAGATGTTCGTCCAGGGATAGGTTTACTCTTGGGTGAGGCTCAGCCCGAGCATCTGGAGAACGGCCGTGAGCATGACAGTGGTTGAGTTCTGGAGTTTTTCGGCTGCTGGAGCTGGATCCCTTGGGATGGGGAGGGGCCTCACCCACCCCTCTCCAGGATGCCCCAAATAGAAACCTGGCACAGGGTCTGGCAGCATGGTTATGGCAATGTCGTGTTATACTCTCTTTCGAGAGAGAAGGACGATGAGTCTCTGGATCCTGGCTGTTAATGAGATTATCTGGTGCCAGCCAGAGGTGGCTTGTGGGTGTGACTGCCAGGTTGCCAGAAACACGGGGACTTAGGGAAAGGTCACCCTTTCCTGGTTCCATTCAACCTGGAGTTGAGTCACACATCCCACAAAACTGGGTTTTGTGAGATTCTCTCATGGTTGAAGCTCAGAGGGAGCATATGAAGAGTACCTGTGAGCATGGCAGAGCTGGAGTTCTGGAGGTTTTCAGCTGCCAGAGCTGGGTTACTTGGGGAGGGAGGGACCTCACCTAACCCCCTCTTGGGTGCCCTGAATGAAAGAGCCTGGGGCAGGGTCCGCATCTTACAGTCTTAGGGTCTTCATAAGCCAATTTTTGCATGGAGTTCTGCTTCCTTAATGACATTGAAAATATTTATGGGAGGCATATTTTCTTATTTCGGACACTTAGAAGAAGTTGAAACTACTCATGATTATCAAATAGAAACCAAGCATAGTAATTCTGCACCTTATTGAACATCCTAGTAAAACTGAGTTTTGTTTTGTTTTGTTTTGTTTTACATTTGTGTAAAAACAATCGTGATCTGGGGAGATAGTTCAAAGAGCTGTAGCACTTGCCTGGCACTCAACAATGTTGAGTTTTACCCATAACACCCGAAGGTTCCTTGAACATCACTGTGATTGTAAGCATCTTCTTGGTCTATTCCCTTGCTTTTTCACTTTTTTGGAGGGGAGGACATTTGTTTGGACAGTGCTCAGAGTCTTTCTGACTGTTCTCAAGAATATCTCCTGGTGATTCTCATTAACATGTGCAATGCAGGCATTACATATGGGGTTAGCCACATGCAAGACAAGCGAGTATTAACTCTCAGGCCATCCCTTCCTCTTTTTTCTTTTTTTTTTTTGACAAAATTAATTTTTATTTTATTTTATTATTTTTTTATATTTATTAAATTTTATTATTAGTGAATCACCCTAATGTACAGTTACAGACTTAGAAACTTTTGTGCTTGCATTTCAGTCATTCAAAGGTCGAGTACCTGTCCCTCCACCAGTGCCCATTTTCTACCACCAATGGACCCAGAATCCCTACTACCACCCCACCCTGACCCCTCCACCCCACCCAGCCTCTGTGGCAGGGCATTCACTTTTGCTCTCTCTCCCTTTTTGGTGTTGTGGTTTGCAATAGAGGTATTGAGCAGCCATCATGTTCAGTCTATAGTTTACTTTCGGCACGCATCTTTAAAGCCGAATGGGTCTTCCCAACATCCTTTAATTGGTGTTCCCTTCTCTATCTGAGCTGCCTTTTCCCCGAGCATGTGGAGCCGGTTTCTAATCTGTAGAGCAGACCTCCTGGTCCTTATCTCTTCTACTATTGGGTGTTAGTCTCCTATTCTTTTACTTTATATTCCACAGATGAGTGCAATCTTTCTATGCCTGTCCCTCTCTTTCTGACTCATATCACTTAACATGATACTTTCCATGTTGATCCACTTATATGCAAATTTCATGACTTCATCTTTTCTAACAGCTTCATAGTATTCCATAGTATAGATGTACCAAAGTTTCTTTAACCTGTCATCTGTTTTTGGACATTCGGTTTTTTTCCAGATTCTGGCTATTGTGAACAGTGTAGCAATGAACATACAAGTGCAGATGTCATTTCAACTATACTTTTTTTTTCTTGTCCAGGATATATTCCCAGAAGTAGTATTCCTGGGCCACATGGGAGATCAATTTCTAATTTTTTGATAATCATCCATACTGTTTTACAAAAGGGCTGAACCAGTAGGCATTCCTGCCAGCAGTGAAGGAGAGTCCCTTTCTCCCCACATCTGTGCTAACACTAGTTGCTTTTGTTCTTTTGGATGTGGGCCAGTCTCTGTGGTGTAAGATGATATCTCATTGTTGTTTTGATCTGCATCTCCCTGATGATTAGTGATGTAGAGCATTTGCTCATGTGCCTTTTAGCCATTTGGATTTTCTCTTTGAGAAAGTTTCTGTTCATTTCATCACCCCATTTTTTTGATGGGGTTGGATATTTTCTTCTTGTGGAATACCACCAGTGCCTTGTATATTCTTGATATCAACTCCTTATCAGATGGGTTTTGGGTGAATATCCTTTCCCATTCCGTAGACTATCTTTGTATTTTGATCAATGTTTCTTTTGAGGTGCAGAAGGGAGCACCAAATAAAGGGTGCTGGGAAGATCTGCCCAGGATGGGAGATGCCTGCTGAAAGTAGTCTATGGGCCGAACATGATTGCCACCCAATGTCTCTTTGGCAGACCACAGCACCCAAAAGAAGAGATAGAGCAAAAGGGAGTGCCCTGACACAGAGGCAGGGTGGGATGGGGGATGAGGGGGTAGGAGGGATACTGGGATTGGTGGGAGTGGAGAATGGGCACTGGTGGTGGGATGGGTACTCGATCATTGTATAACTGAAACCCAAGCACAACAACTTGTAAGTCTACAACTGTACCTCATGGTGTTTCACCAAAAAAAAAAAAAAAAAAAAGACACGCTACTGGCCAAGCAAGTGAAATCAGAGATAAACAAATGGGACTAAAATTAAGAAACTTCTGCACCTCTTTTTCTTTATACTCCATATATGAGTGAGATCATATGCTATCTGTTCTTCTTTTGACTCACTTTGTCTAATATAAAGCCTTCCAGTTCCATTCAATTTTCTTATCCAAGGCTTTATTTTTCTGCAGCTTAGTGTAATATTCTGTTGTGTACATCCATTGCATCTTTTTTATCCATTCATCTATCAGTGGACACTATAGGTGTTTTTTATATCTTGGCTATTGTGAATCATGCTTTTATGAATATAGGAATCCACATAATTTTTTAAATTTTGTTGTTGCTGTTGCTTTGGATAAACATGCAGAAGTAGAATATCTGGACTATACACTGATCCTGTTTTTAATTTTTTGACAAAATTCCAGAGAACTTTTATAGTGAATTTACATTCCCACCAAAAGTCTATAAATAGGGCTCTTTTTTCCTACATTTTCCACAACAAAATAATTACAATTCTGACAGGTGTGAGGTGATATCTCATTATTGTTTTGATTTACATTTTTCTATTAATAAAATGACAAACATCTTTTCTTACCAATCATCTGTATATCTGAGGAAATGTCTCTTTCATGCCTCTAACTTTTTAAACCCATATACGTGTTTTATGTTGCTATAGACGTTTTATGCCTTTATATATATTTTATTCATAGGTTTTTGAATACTAATGCTATGTTAATTATATGATTCTTAATGTTTTTGGTCAGTCAATTTTATTTTATCTTTTTAACTTTAGACACCATGATTTACAATACTCAGTCAGGTTTCATGCATA